GTGTGACTGGTTCCTCTTTGGAAGCCTTCTCTCCTCCCCAGGGCCCCTTGAAGCTAAATGCTGTACTATCAGAGACCCCAAAACCCACCTCCCTAGGATTGGTGTATAATTTAAATTTTCCTGAAATTTTACTAAATTTTAAAATTTTCCTGAAATTTACTAAATTTTCCTGAAATTTTCATTAGTTATGGACAATAAAACATCATAAAAACCTCAGTGGCCAACATCTCTGCTTTCTTTTTCCCCCCCAGTAGCCTTCTCCAGTTTCCTTTGTCTCTAGTCTCTTTGTCTTTCCTCCCCTCTCTGAAAAAAAAAAATTCTCTCCAATGTCTGGTAATTCAGCTACTTGCCTCTGCTTATATAGTCCACAGAGTAAGCCTGAGCCAGAAGCTAGCTGAGCAGTGGCCATTCACAGTGTCTCCAGTGCTCTACCAGGAGGCCTCAGTTCATCCTGATTCACCATTAAGCCCCTTCTGTCAAAAATCATTCACACCTGGCACCAAAGTTGTGCCAGGTTTCCAGGAGCAAGGGACCATTCACCTCAGCACCCTGTCACCCACGCGGATGTGGGGAGGGGAGAGGCTGGAGAGGGGGAGGAGGGGCGGAGAATGGAAATGTGCCAACAATGGGAAACCTTCTCCCTATGTCAGGTCTGATGTAAGACCAGTAGAAGCACAAGGGATGGTTAGGGGAGGTGTTGAAGTGGCCCCAAGCAGAACTGCAGTTATCAACACCCTTCAGGCAAAGACCACCAGAGACACACCTGAAGTTGAATTAGTTGGATTCACTGCTCTTTGCAACCAGGAAGAACACATACCTTGGGGAACTGTGGGGCATCTCGGTAAGCGGGTGCTGGGAGGGCTTGTTATAGAATTTGGCTTGTGTTTTTAGGTGACCTGGGGGGAAGTTCAAGGAAGCAGGGCTTCGCTCTAGATTAAATGTTTTCAGGAAGTGGTTGTAATTCTGACTGAGCATCTATGTGGGTTTGCTACGGCTGTCATGACAAAAATACCACAGACTGGGTGGTTTAAACAACAGAAGTTAATTTTCTCAAGTTCTGGAGGCCAGAAGTCCAAAGTCAAGGTGTTGGCAGATTTAGTTTCTCCTGAGCTCTCTTTCCTTGGCTCGCAGATGGTCACCTTCTTGCTGTGTCCTAACATGATCATCCCTCCAAATCCGAGGGCACCTGTGTGTCCAAATCTATTGTGTGTCCAATTTTCCTTTTCTTATAAGGACAGCAGTCAGATTAGATTAGGACCCCCCCTAACAGCCTCATTTAACATAATCACTTCTTAAAGACCCTATCTTCAAATATAGTCACCTCCTGAGATACAGGGGTATGGGCTTCAACATATGAATTTTGTGGGGACACAGTTCAGCCCATAACAGCATCTTAACACATCTTGTCTATAAGGTGGGGGGAATGATGCAGGCTAGAGCTGGGGTTGGTAAAGAAGCGGCAGTCACTCATTAGTCAGGATAGGGGATGTTTAGTCCTTTCTGTGGTTTGGATAGTGTTCATGTTTTGTCTGTGTTGTGACACGATCGTGGAGTGGTCTTGTTTTTGTCTTTATCCATCATAGTCACAGAGTGGCCTTGGCAGATGTTGATATTCTGTGAATTATTTATGTTCAGCAGTTGAACCCCACAACCTGGCTGTGGATATTGCCAACCAAGTCCTCACTGATAGAGCCAGGTCAGTTTCTGGCTGTCAGGGGATGTTTCTTCCTTCTCAGGATCTGTGTACTGACTAAGCCAATGCAGCTTTGGGATGACTGCCGCCCTTTCTCACTTAGAAGTTCTGGTGCCAGCCTTGGGTGACCAAGGGAGTGTGGCAAAACTCTAGCCCCCTTCCAGGAATGCACGGAGTCTGAAGACCTAGAAGTGTAGGAAATCCGTCTTCAGCTGCCCACTTCGAAAACACACCCTGATGGTGGAGCGCCATGCTGGAACTCCTGGGAATTCCTTGGCACCCTGCTTCATCTGGTGTATTTGTTTTCGGTTGTTGTGTAACAAATCACCTCTAACTCAGTGGCTTCACACAGCACACATTTATTATCTTGCAGTTTCTCTGGGTCAGGAGTTCAGGCATAGCTTAACCGGATTCTCTGCTTAGGGTAACAAAAGGCTGCAATCAAGGTGTTTCCCAGGACTGGGTTCTCAGCAGAGGCTCCACTGGGGAAGGATCTGTTTCTGAGCTCTTGCAGGTTGTTGGCAGAATTAGGGGAGGCAACTTCTTTTTCAAAGACAGCAATGGAGAGAGACTCTAGCAACCTTGGCACTCCTTGCACATTCCATCCCTCTTGCCACATTCCATTGGTTAGAAGCAAGTCCCAGGTCCTGCTCACACTCAAGGACAGGGGGTTAAACAAAAGTATGAATACCAGGAGGCAGCTGTTTTGACCATTCTGGGAAGCCTGCGGTGCGGTAAGTGACTCAGGACTTGGATGGCTGCAGGCTGGCCAAGCCAGGCAGGGCAAAGGCACAGAGGTGCAGCAGAAGCCACAGCAAATCCTCTGTGTATCCTGAAAGTTTTGCTTTTGAGGAAAGATCTGATTTTGGGGAAAGAGCAAAAAGATATCCAGGGCATAATTTCCTCAGGTGACTGCTATGAAGGGACCAAGACTCACAGGTTGGTGTAAATTCAGGAAGCCATTGGTAGGAGCACAAAGGAAGAAATTAAGAGTAGGTGGACAGAAGGAGGGTTTCCGGGGTATCAACTGTACGTGAAGGAGAAATAGAAGGAGGAGGGAAAGGATTAAAAACATCCAGGTCTTTGGCAGTGGGATGTGAGAGGTATGGACCAAGAACAATACTTGGGGGAGGTGAACCTGATACAGAAACTCTGTGCATAGGCAGAGGGGAGGCTACAGGGACCTTTAGCATCTCCTTTCTGACCATGAAAGGGAAGCAAGGAAGACTTTCAGCTTAGATGTCTTTAGAAGGCAAGTGAGGACCAGGCCATGCCCACCTGCCTGTCACCAGGTCTGGGGAAGCACCCTGGAGTGTTAGGGGACAATGTATGTAGGGTAGACGTGATTCTACTGAATGTTTGGACACTGAGTGTCTTATAGAATAAATCTTCCTTAATGATGGGTCTGACTAAGGCAGGAAGCTCCACCTCAAAAATGTTAGAACCAAACAAAGTTATCCATATACTAGACATTTCAAACTCAGTGTCTGACTATATTCTGGGCCTTGAAATAAATCCCAGCAAATTTAAGCTATTTGAAATTATACAGAGTATAATTATAATGGAGCTAGATTAGAAATCAGTAAAAACAAAATATCTAGGAAAAATCTATAACCTGGAAGTCAAGTAACATACTGCTAAGTTATCCATGTTCAAAGAAAAAAAAATCACCAGGGAAATTAGAAAGTACTCCCAACAGAATGCTAATGAAAATAAATCTTTTCAAAATCTGTGTGATGCAGCTAAAGCAGTGCTTTGAGGGAAATTTATAGTTGTAAGTATTTGTATTAGAAAAGAAGAAAGTTTAAAAGTCAGTGATCTAAGGTTCCACCTTAAGAAGCTAGAAAAAGAAGAGCAAAGTAAATCCAAAGTAAGTAGAAGGAAGGAAATAATAAAGGTAAGAGTAGAAATCAAAGGAACAGAAAAGAGACAGTAAGAAGACTAACAAGTTCAGTCATGTTTTCTGACACATTATTCCTCCCCCTCTTCCCTCTAGCCACAGCTGATTGGATGAGAATTCATTTGGAGTGGGGGAAAGAGTATGAAATAATAGTTAATTACTTCCTTTTGAGTTCTTGATGCTTGCATCTCACAACCAGAGAGAACTTCCTTTTCCAGTAGGTGGCAGCGCTGGCAACTTGAAAACCCGGACAGGCTGCCTTCTGGGTCGGCTGGGGACCAATGATTGCCGCCGGGCTGAAACGAAGGAGTTATTTCAAGACAGGAGAGAGAGTCAACTCCAGAAAGCAAATCCGCACTCGAATTTAGAATAGGGAAAAGTTTGAGATCTCTCTCTCAATCCCCCTCTCCCTCTCTCCCCCTCTCCCTCCTTCTGTCTCTCCCTCCCTCCCTCCCTCTCTCTCTCTCTCTCTCACACACACACACACACACACACACACACACATCTGGAAAACCTGAATGAAAGCTTGAAAAACTTGCCTTTTAAAAACCTGGGGCTCTTAACTGGAAGTACTGCTGATGGGCACCAGAGGCTCAGAAAACTCCTCCTCCCACTGTGAGCAAATCGCCGCCCCCCCCCCCCCCCCCCCGAGATTCTCCAAAGTTTACATCAGATTCCCAAAATGGACGGGGACTTAAAACAATTAAGATACCCTGCCTACGAATGCTCCGTTAAACACCACTCAGAAGTTAATCGGGCAGGAGTCTGGGCTGTACAGGAAGGTGGTGGAGTGCACCCAGGCCTTGGGTGGGAGGTGGGAGAGGCCGGGCACAACCAGTTGCTTTTATAACTTTTTCTTCCTGAAGGGTCACTGCTGGAAAAAACCCCTTGGGGAGTTTAAAGCGGAAAGAGAGCGACCACGTTTTGCAGACCTATTATGTGCGTCCTAAATGTCCTCATTTAATCTTTGCAGTAATCCTTCGAGTTCGCTGTTAATCCTTCCTATTACTCTCCCAAATCCCTTAAGAGGGCACTTGATGGACTGCCGGTTTTCGTGGTTCCGGGTTTTAACTGAATGCACACACTGACTAGTCTCCTCTTTTACAGACAAAACTTCCCTGCGATTGCCTTTGTTTACATGAACTAGCCTTTAAAAATAGCCTTTCATTTATTTCTTTGGTCTATTTCTTTCCATCAAGAGCCACCCTCAGAATTGGCAGCGTGAACGCAGACGTAAGGGCAGGAGCTAGTACGATTTTCGGTTGAATTTAGAAGACAGTCCTGGAGCCTCACTTTTCCCTTCTGGTTCACGGGGTGGCCGGCGGCCGGCGCAGGGTTTGGGCGGGAGAACTGGGGCCGCGTATCCCGCGGCTGCCTCCGCTCAGGGCAGACGGGCGGCGGAGGGGTTGGGCGGGGTCGGGGTTCAGCCTCACTTGGCCGCCGCCTCCGGGCTTGGGGGTGAGCCCCGCCCGGAGGCGGTCGCGCTAACCGCGGAGGGAGCCGGCGAGAGGCGCGGGGAAAGGGGCGAGCGCCCCCGGCTCCTCGAGTCCGGCGCGCCATGGCGGGCGCCGGGCGAGTACGCAGCCCAGCGGCCGCGGGCTAGCCGAGCCGGGAGGCCACTGTTGGGTCCCTCCTTCCCTCTGCGCCCCAGGCCTCGGAGCCACCGAGAGGAGGATGAGTCCCTGGAGCTGGTTCCTGATGCCGACCCTCTGCCTCCTGCCCGCGAGCGCAGCCCCTCCGCACGGCGCGCCCGCCTCCGCCAACTGCAAGCTCAAGGCCCAAGTAAGGCGCGCAGTGGGCGCGGGCGCGGCGGCCTCCCGGCACCTCCTGGGGGTGGTTACCTTCCCAACCGCACTGAGCCCCGTGCTCTTGGACCCCGAGCCGACTCAGCGGGTCGGGCTCCCACCTTGCACGGCGGCGTCTCCTAGCTCGCGCTTCCTGCCGAGCCCCCGGGTTCCCCTTTCCGGCGGGGGTGCAGAACTCCGGCCACACGAGAGACCCTGTCCCGCAGCCATCGCCATTCGTCAGCCGAAGGGAGTCCCGGGCCGGGTCCCCCGGGTCTCGCCAGCCTGCTTCGCTGGCGTTTGAGGGACGAATCCGCGAAGACCCAGTGGGCCCGGGACTTGGGCACATTGACTTTTAAGTTTGTTCTGCCTGCTCGTCCCTAGCGTTTCATTTCTGCTTGTTTCTAAATGGTAATAGCCCCCAGCAGCTGCTTGATTTAACCTTCGTCTATTCAGTGCCTGAGTTAGGTGGAATGTGGGGGGAGCTGAAGCCATCCCCCTTGTTTTACTGATATGGGAAACTGAGGCTCAGAGAGGGACTTTTGTGCTCCAGGTTACAGAGCGCGTTCGTGGAGAGACCGGGTCTGACAGCCTAGCGTTCACGCACCCGGCGCCTCCTTAGATCTTCGCTTCAGCGTTTTGGGGTGAGGGGAGCCGAGGTGAGAGAGCCCCAGTGACCTGCCCCTGTCCACCCAGCCCTATAGGAGCAGAAGCCGAACGGAAACCCGGCAGGTCTGGCGTCTCCGGGGCTGAGCCTCTTTCGAGAAGAGCGTTTCCATTTCCTGATCAATTTTCCTACGCTCGGAATTTTCTGCAGGTCTGAAGTCCCTCTCTTCTGAGCTCCGTGGAAGTTGACTTTTGCGAGTTTACATCGGTGCGTCCAGTCTCTGTGGATCCCTGGCGCTGGGGAGGGTGATCGTAGACTGAGCGCCCTCGAACGCCGGTTGCCGGAGTTCAGGGGTCTGCCCACCTTCGGTGACACCTGCGCAGCATCCGGGGCCGCGTCCACTTCCCTCCGTGATTTTATTCATCGTCTTAACCACAGCAAGGGAGAAGGTGACCTCACTGAGCCGTTCCTGGCGCACAGGGCTGCCCGGGAAGCTGCACTGTGTTCCTAGGGCGCCCTGGGCTGCGGACGCGTGGACGCGTGGAGGCCGAAGAGGGAAATCCTCACCAGGGATCGTTCCAAACTCTGCTGCGGTGTGGCAGCTGCGGGCTTGTTATACAAGGCAGAAGTCCATCCTTTCATATGAAAGCAGAGTGCTTTGCACTTTTGCGAATCTATTACCAACTTGTAATAATATTATCGAGTGAGTCTTGATAAGGTCTCTGTTTCTCCCTTCTGTTGAATCTGTCTTCGTGGGTCTTTTGTTCTGTCAGTTCTCATACTTTTTGGTCTCATAGTAAAACACTTGTGTGGGTTAATGGAAATATTAATAAAACGCAAGAATACACAAGCACACATGTCATTGACTGTCGGAGGGTGATGTTATCTAGAGACTTGTAGCCTCTAGAAAATTCTGTTTGTACACTTGTGAGAGAATGAAAGAGGAAAATATCTTTGTATTATTATGAAAATAGTTCTGATCTTACAGACTGCTTGAAAGGGACTTGGGGACATTCACAAGTCCCTGGACCACACTTTGAGAATCAGTGTTCTATTCTGTGGGCAAACTGCCTTGTCCTGTGTGGAGGTCAGAAGGTCAGTCAGTGGCAGGGCTGTCTGCTTGACCTGCAGGCTGTAGAGGGCACCGTGGGTGGGTCCCCCAGGGGGTTGGGGTGTTGAGATTGTAGAGTGAGGGTCTGGAATCCAGCCTCCCATCCGGTGTGGCAGCTTCCTGTAGCTTTCTGGAAGGACTGTGGCTTGATAGCTGGCTTGGTTTTCAACTTTCATTAATCATTAGAGAGGTTTTCTGAGCCAAAGTCCGCCACACAGGTTGAGTCTGTTCCTTATCAACACTCAAACTCAACTCTGGAGCGTTCTTACCATTCCTGCTAGCGTTGTTTCACATTTGCTGTTTCTTCACCCAGATATCCACATGCTTGCTCCCATACTTCCATCTGGGCTTTGCTCAAATTCTCTCAATGAGACCCTTCCCGATTACCTATTAAAGATTATGTCATGCCCCCATTCCCCGGCCACCCTGCCCTCCTATCTGCTTTTGCGACTTTATTTTTCCTGTGTAGCACTTAACCACCATCTGATAAAAATGTTTGTTTATTGCCCCCCCTCCAATCTCCATAAGCATAGGAATTTTTGTTTGCTGCTGCATCCCCAGTGCGTACAAGAGTGCCTGGCCATAGTAGATGCTAAATAAATATTTGTCAAATGAAAAGGGCACACTAAAGCCAACTTACTTTAATATTATTCCAGCTGGTCTGCTGAAGGGTCCTCTTGGAAAAGAGCAGTTATCTCAGGTCCAGGAGCTGGATGGGAAGAGCTGAGGGGGCCTGTGGCTTAGGGATTTAGCCCACATTACACAAGTTGTCATTGTGCTACTTTACTTCATTGTATGGATTATACATGTGTGTTAAAATCTCCGGTAAGGTGATTCAGTCCGCAGAACTTCGTGTGTCTCTGTCATCCATGGACATGTCTTCTTCTTTTAAAAGAAACCTGTTATGGTGTTAATTTTTTTTTTTTCCTTTGAAATCATCAGAATGTTAAGATACATGGCTGTGTCTAGTAGTAGGTAGGGGCCACAATTACAGTGAAAGGGGGGTGGTAGAGCCATTTTGTTTTTCTTTTATGGAGACAAATAGCCCTTCCCCCGAGGGTGTCGGTGTGAGGCAGGGGCAGCTGCACCCCTAAGATCAGTGCAGCAGCCTAGGGGCTCACCTGTGCGCAAAGACAAGGTAAGAGCTCCCTGAAAAGAAGCCCTGAAGACTCGCCTTTCAGAAGGGCCTGGTAGACAGGTGTCAGTAGCCAGAGTGGGAGACAGGGTGCCCTCCCGGGTCAGAACAGAACTCCATGTATTGAAGAAGCTCCACAGGATAAGGATCATTTCTTTAAAACCACTTTAAAACCCCTGGCTTAAAAAAAAAAAAAAAAAAAAGTGGCAAAGCCCTCCATCCCCCAAGCTGTGTTATCCCTTAAAGAGACAGAATGGGATAGGATGGCCCCCTGAGGAGTGAAAGATGTCAGTGTGGGTTCATCTGGGTAGGTCAGTGAGGCCCCAGATGGGGAGCTGGACAGAGCCTCTCTAGATGTGGAGTCAGGTGGTCCTCCTGAGCGATGGTGCACCTAGCAGAGTACGAATTGAAAAAGATGTAAGTCTGAATCGCGGGGGATGTCTGCTGCATGCTAAGGCCGCCTGATAGGGTGTTTAAAACCTGGGGCTCTGGCTTCAAATCCTGGATCCACTGCTTAGCAGCTATGAGACCTTCTGTAGCATAATAAACCTCTCAAGGCCTCGATGTCTCCGTCTGGAAACAGCCAGTGTCTTACTTAGGTGTGTATCCTCCCTCTTCCTCTCTTCCCCATCTCTTCTATGTGGGCACCGGGCAGGCGTTCACCCCCACCATGCTACGAAAACCGTTCTTGTCTGGGTCGCCAGCAACCTCCGTGTTGCTCTATCCAGAGGTCAGTTGCCCAAATCCTCCGCTTATTTAGTCCATCAACCACATCCAACCCACTGGCTTACTGTCTCCTCCCCGAAGCTCTTCCTTCAGTGGGCTTCCTGCTCTTCTGATTTTCCCTGCTACCTCGCTGGCCACTTCTCTTCTTCTGGCTTCTCTTCTTTCCCTTGACTTCACAAGTTTGGACCATTTCTAGACCCATTCTCTCCTGTTTGCACTTAGTCCCTTGGAGATCTCATCTAGTCCTATGGCTTTAAATAACATCGAAATGATGACCACACCCTCTTTTTCATCGGGGGCCCAGATCTCTCCCAGACTCCAGACTCGTGTATCCGCCTATCCACTCGACCTCCCCACTTGGATGTCTGCTTGACATTTCAACTCAGCGGGACCAGCATCAAACTTCTGACCTTCCCTCGAATCCTGTTCCACCCTGTCTTCTCCATCTGGGTTGATGGTAACTTCATCCTTTTAATTAACTGATTCATCAGCAAATCCTGTTGGCCCTTGCTCCCAGAATACAGCCAGAATCCCATCTCTGATCACTTCTCATCAAGTCTGTCAGTACTGCTCTGTTCTCTCACTTGGGTCATCTCAGTAACTTCCTAACTGACCTTCTTTCATCTGCCCTCATCTCTCAGTAGTCTGTTCATCACAGCTGCCAGAATGATCCTGTCAACACATTAACTCAGGTCGTTTCACTTCTCTCATTAAAAACGTGCACCAGCTTCCATCCTACTCAGCATAAAAGCCTCCACCCTTCCAGGGGCTCGGGGGCCCTGTGCGGCCAGGCCTTGTTGGCCTCTCTGACCTTTGCCTCCTGTCTGCCTCTGGAGCTGTCCAGCTGCAGTCATGCTGGCCTTTTTCCTGCTCCTCCAACACATTGAGGGCCTTTCTGCCCCAGGGTCTTTGCACTTGCTGTTGCCTCCTCTTGGAGGGATTGCTCCCAGATAGTCCTGTACTTTGACCTCTTACCTCCTTCACGGCAAGGCTTAAATGACCTACTGGACATTCAGGGACTTCCCTGATCACCCTATTTAAGACAACATCCCTCCTCCACTAGTACTTCCTGTTCCCCTTCTGCTTCTGTGTTCTCCTCAGCAGTTACCATTAACATACCGGAGGCAGAGACCCATACTTCATTCACTGCTGTATTCCTAGTGCCTCATGCCTGGAGCCGTGCCTGGCGCTTGGGGGGCACAGCATTGATAGTTGGGAAAGAAATGAGTGTTGAACAAATGCAGCAGAACCTTCCGTGTGCAACGCTTGGATGGTGCCTGGCACACGGCGAACAGTCAGTATCAACCAGCTGCTTTCAGCATCATTACTGTCAGTGCATGGCTAGATGCCAGAACATGAGTACTGTTTTTTAAAAAACCTGAGCAGACACTTCCCTGGTGGCGCAGTGGTTAAGACTCC